TTTTCACTCAGCCGAGTACAGGAGGATGCTGTGTCATCAGAGACTGAGGACTCAGACGGAGCACTAAAGCCCGGCCCTCGGTCTAATTTACTACGCCCTGATAGAAAGAACGCCAGAGACGAGGCGGCAGAGAGGAGAGGGGAAAAAGCATAATAATGAACGGTGGTGGACTCCAAGAGAGAGCGGGACGAACATAATGTAATGCTGTGTGCAGCGAGTCTCAGTTGCTGCTGCCAAGAGCTCACCTTGCGCGCCCTCTAGCAGCTGCTGCCGAGCACAAACCTGTGCAGGAATTACTGCTCTGCTGCACACTGCTGATACAACCGTCACAGCAGCAGTGGAAAAACTAGGCTTCGGGGGGTAAAAAAAAAACAAAAAAAACCTGGGGTTTAGTGTTGCTGCGCGTACAGGCGGCGTCCGTCTGCGCACAGGGACACACATGTACATGTCCTCCATCCGTCACGTCCTGCTCTGCCTTCCTTTAACATTGCCTCGTCACATCAGACATTCGGAAAGCCCAGGCAGTATTCTCCCCGTCACAGGGGAAAACAAGAACTGCAACTCTGCATTTCTCTTCCTCGCCACTGCCTCCTCTTCCTCTCTTTTATACATGAGTGCTGTGATCAGGTTTCCTGCAGCAACACTAACACACAAACACACACACACACACACACACTTAGACTCATTGACTTACAGAGCAATGTGGAGCGATTGGACGGATGAGCATCGGTCAAGCAGAGGAGACAGACAGCCTTGAAAGGTGAGGGCAGAGACAAGGGGGGGAGCAGTGGACCCTAACTTGTTACATACTCAGAAAGACTTCCTCACAGAGGGAATAAAGGTCAAATATCTGTGGATTAGACATAGTGCTGCTTCAAATTATATAAACAAGGTGGGCGTCTGTACGATAAAGACGCTGAATGCACAGAAAAGCCACTGATGTTGTAAAACAGGCCCATCTGCAACTATAAGCAGAACTGGTTAAGCTGTGCACAAAAGCCTTAAAACAGATGGTTGTCATGGAGACTTTATATGGCACCCTTTGCTGCAGCTCTCTGAAAGTGAGCTTTGGAGATATTATTTCTCTAACTCCCTTTCAGTCCTTCTCCTTGTGCATGGTGGTAAGATAAACCTGGATCTCCCTCCGGCCTTGGTCGTCCTCTTAAAACATTTTCATGACCAATCAGACTGCAGAAATTTCTTGAAGCTATTTCAAGACAGAGACATTTAAGGCATGCCTGCTCCTCTTTCCCATTTTGAAGAGCAGCTTAGAGTTTTCCCTTGTTGCATCGTCTCAGAGTGAGCGCACTTCAAGATTCATTAATATTACAAACTTATTCACTAAATGTCAACAGTGCTTTACATGAGAGTGTAAATAGAAAGAAAGGATTAAAATCTGTTCAGAAGTGGTCTATGACCTAAATATCCTGCTCTTTGTCTTTACGAGCAACATTTTTACATTTTAAAGGACACTGATCAAATTGTTAATGAGATTTAACTGTAAAAAAAAAAAAAAAAAAAGGAGGGGGAAAATTATTTTTGACAAAAAAAAAAAAAAAAAGGAGGGGGTAAATTATTTTTGACAGTTATTTGTGCAAAAGACGCAATCTATAACGTGCTTCATTACAGTAAGTTCTGCTGAATTACTAGCAAAATGTGCAATTACAATATTACTGAAGAATAAATAATAAAGACAATTTCAGTTATAATTAACCCTCATCTCACCCTTTGCACACATCTAAACATTCCCATCACTCCAGGAGTTTTAGGATTCTGGTAGCCAAAATTTTAACCAGGTGTGGGTGAGGCAGGTGTATGAAGCAGTGTTTCCCATAACACTGTTGTTTTAATGCTTGTTTAAATGCACCAGCTTCTCACCACGCGTAACAATCTGCAAACAAACAGCATCACAACAGAGAGACGGTGTTCCTAGATCAGCAAAGTAACTGCAGAGCAGAGAAATGAAAGCTAAGGAAGAATGCGCAGAGCATCAGGAAAAGTTTGGAGGTATATTAAAGGCCATAACGTAACCCTTCCTGTGGTAACCACCGACCTGGGACTGTGGATCAATAGATCACAAGAGGCGCATGCCATTGATGGTTCCATCTACCTTGGGAGGGAGTGCTGCACTGTGCGATTGCCAGTCTTGCTGACTGGCCATCTTGCTTCTATAGAGCCCACAGATTGTCTTATACATTATCACTGCCCAAACACAGGAGACAGGAGAGTCCACACAGCTGCATGCCCCTGCACTTTTCTCTCCACTTCCTGTCCTGCCCTCCATCTTCTGCTCTAACTTCTCTCGCTAGCTTCCACTGGTGCAGAGCTGCAGGAAGGACAGAGCTCAGACATGTCTCTGATAAATAAAAGATAACGAATTTGGCAATGAGCCGGAGGGGTTTGAGCCAACTTTTCCACATCAGGCTAATTCAAAACCTGATTGTCATTCTGTTTTTATTTATGCCCCTTGTGAAAAAAAATCACACTATGTTCAGAAATAGCGCTGATACTGCAGCAGTGCCAGAATCAAAATCTGCAGAAAATGACAGCGCAGCTGTACGCATATATGTAAACGTGAAAAGAAATTAGGCCAGATTAGAAATGAAGTGTAGCTGTAACAAAGGTTTCCCTTGGATGCACTAATTTCAGCACTTTTATCTCTCCTGACAAGTCGACAAAGCACTTACCATCTCAAAGTGTCTTATCCTGACAAAAACTGTTAGTCATTGGGACTGATTTTATAGAAGGTCAAAGGCAAACCTGTCCTTCCCCTCTGCAGTTTCATTGTCTTTCCCAGACATTAACAGATGCAGTGAATCAACACAACTGGACAAAAAATAAGACCAGAATTGCTTTGCAAAAGAAACCCGCAGTTGCACGAAAAAATATCTCAACTTGCCCATCTGTAAAGGAAAGCTATATATTTGTAAAGAAGAAGCATTTTATAATCTTGCTGAGCAAAATGCCGAGAATGAGCACCGCTTCCTACGATGACAGAGAATGTGTGGTGGAGTTAAAAGTGTGTTTTACCTCAAAGATTTATTCTATCTTTATATTTTGCTTTTTTTTAGCACCTTGTCAGACAAAGTTAATCTTAACAAACACATAAAAACGGTAAACTGTTGATTTAAAAGGGGACAATCTGAGGAAATAGAGGAACAGGTGGGAAACAAGTCCATTAATATCCTTCAGAAAAGGTGCTACGTCTATAAGTTTATATGGCTTTAAAAACCACGGTAAGAGCCATTATTGTGACCGGGCCAAACAAAATTACTCCAAGGGAGCATCGACGACTCATTCAGGAGGTCACAAAACAATCCAGAATATGTTCCAAAGCAATGCAGACCTCAGTAGAGTTAAGTTTTCCTAATAACACAATAGGAAAGAGACTGAACAAACAGGACATCCATGGAACAGTTCAAGGTGAAAACCACTGCTGGCCAAAAAAAAAAAAAAAAAAAAAAAAAGGACCGTCTGACATGTACTTAAAAAAAACTTTGATTATCCAGAAGAACATTCTGAGAAGACAAAAGTGGGACTTCATTGAAGCTCATGTCCCATTACATCCATTGTAAAACAGATCAGCACAATTATTGCACTGCACTGTATGCAATATGCTCATCAAAACGAATGACTTGAATGGCAATAAATGTTACTTAACCATTTAAATACCTTGTACTCAGGCTCTCCATACCTGTGCAGTATACATTAACACTTGTTCTTTAGTACATCATAAAAGTTTAAGGTGAAGAGATGGTAAGGTGGTCAAGATATTAAGAAACCACAACTATGTAAAAAATGTAAAAATAAATCAACTGTTGTTAAGGTGGAAATAATATATTTTTGTTCCTGCAGCTGGACATGTTCATTATCTGAGAGCAGAGTTTACTATAAGCCCACGGCAGAAAGACATAAATGATGTTTGCTTATTTCTTTATATATCATAATCATGCTTGCTACAAAAAATTACCAACATTATTTCATATTGAAGGTTTTCCCAATAATGTGCAGCCTTGTTTCAAAAGAACATCATACAGACAGTGGAACACGGTGGTGGCAGTGTGATGATCTGGGTATGCCAGGTCAAATCAGAGCTGCCTGATTGATTTTCTGCTGTTGACGTTACCATGAATTATGGCCTTTATCAGAAAAATTCCTAAAAGAAAATGTCAATACATAAATTCATGACCTTCAGTCAGCAGTGTCTTCAGCCACCAGACTGAAGACACTGCTGAATCAAATGTGTGAATTATCTCATCATGCCCTTAACTTCTACAAAGTCTTGCGTCTGAGTAATTAAACTGTTTGTAATTAAGCAAACCTAAAAGTTGCAGGACCCCAACCCTTGATATCGGTGCCTTGAGCCCAAGCAGACTCAGGCTGTGCAGCAGGACGATGATCCAATGCACCACAGCTAGTCCAGGCTTAATGGCAAATGGTAGCTGGCCTGAATTTCCATGGCGGTTTATCAAGTCCGAGGACTCAAAAACACTTTACACAATAATCAGTCATTCACACTCTGATGGTGGTAAGCTACACTGAAGCCACAGCTGTGGCTCAAAACAAAAGAATGTAGGCCTAGTCAAAGTTCATACTTAAATCTGATTTATACAGTTTGAATTTAAAATGGGATTAGGGTTAGCCAGTGATTGCTTATGGATTTATGGGCCAGGCTGTTTTGAATAGTTTTTCTCCGTGGAGAAATAAAATTGTTATTTGAAAAATGCTTTTGGTATGTTTTCAGATTGGTCTCAGATTAAAATGTGTTTGATGAGCTGAAACATAAACACAATTTTTAAAAAAACAAGTGAAGCATGACATCCATACAGCTGCTGTAAATATTCAATTCTACCTGAAATACGTTGAAATATTATCTATAAAGTTGAAGAGAACATTTATCCAATAACTATTTGGCAGCATGATAGTGAAAGGTTCTGAAGAATAACATAAGTATAAAGGAAAATAAGTCTGGTATTATGACAGTGCGTGTATTTTCTTACTTTCTGGTTCAAATAGTATGGATCCAAGTCCTCCAGGGGCGTTGCTGCCATTCCATCAGGAATATCGCCATAGATGAAGGGCAGGCTCTTGCCTGCCTCCAGGTCGCTGTTGGGCTTCAGCTCATTGTCGTCAGATGTGTCGCGGTGACTACTGTCCGATCTGGGCTTGGGAGGCTTCTTGTTTTTCTCTTCCTGAATGCGCTTCTCGATGTTAGCGAGAGACTCCGGGGTGAACTTCTTGAAGCTGTCAGGTCCTGGGGGTGCAAGAAGGGGTGCGGCCATGTTTTCATCCTGCAGCTATTTCCCTTTTATTTGTTTACCATCCCCGACAACCAGCTCTGGGAGGAGGGAGACAGAGTGATTAGAAGGAGGAAGAGCAAAAAATAAAAATAAATAAAAAAGGTGCAGAATTTGATTTTCTTTTAAACTAAAAGTTTGAAGTAGAGATCAGAATCTGCCCATTTTCTTATGATCATCTCTGATTAGATAACAGCAGAAATAATACTGGAAATTTGTTTTTTTTAGTACATTCATAAAATGCATCAAAACTCAAAATTCTCAACAATTTTCAGTATGTACTTTTGATGAAAAAGTTATTTTATTTGACTTAAAAAAAATATATGAAGGGTAGAGGCCAATGCTTTGATGCAGAAATGGGAATAATTTTGTAATTCCTTGATTTTATTTTATTTTTTTATTCAAAACTGCAAACAGAGTTAGCTGAAGACTCCAGAAAATCAGAAATGCCTGATCGGTGAATTTTTAGCTTTGAGCATTAGAGGTGGGTCAGAAACATCATGCCTTCATGCACACAAGAGGATTATTTCAGAACAATTAAAGTTCTGACAATAATTTGTCAATAAACATTATTATCAGTTGTAACAAAAACTTTTATCACATCTGCTTAATTTGTAAACCCATTATTGTGCATCTATTACAGCCTTTACTTTGCTATTTTGCAGATTATTTCAAATGATACAACAGAAAAAAAACAATGTTTTTGTGCAGCTTTAGTCTATCCCTAGAGGTTTCAAGTAGTGGAAAAGGGGAATGGGCTGGGTGAGCAGGCAAGCAACCTATAAAATTACCTTTTTTCTTTTTGAATGACCCTAATCAAGATCCTGATCCGGATCTGTTAATACTATCAAAATGACAGAGATAAAAACCACACCATACACAATAACTTATAAGCTGCTAAACAGTGATGCAGAAGAAGAACAAATAATAACTTACAGGAAGTGTTTAATATATGTAAATCTGACCTATTGCTAAAGCAGCAAAACTGTAACTATGGAAACAGAATAACAGCTTTTATTTATGTAGCAATGTTTGAGATTAGGGAACAGGACTGCTCTGAAACACTGAAGACATTTTAATACAGTAAAGCATTAAAGCAATAGAAATTTAATATGAAAAGAAAAATTAAACATGTAACTAAAACAGCATTTTAACTCTTGGTGGTACCATCAAACGTGAATTTCACTCACCAGTCTGTTTGGGTTCTTGTGCTGCTTAATTGACTAAGCAGATTATAAGCACAAAATAAAAATAAAATAAAATAAAATGAAACACACCAGCAAAGTCGGGTTGAAAACAAATTTTAAAAAGAATCTAGAGGAACTCCACAAGCCAGAAAGCACCCTGACAATCCTGTTTCATTCAAGACAAAAGGGAGAAGTCCAGTTGAGATGGCCAGACGATGCAGCCTCCAAGAAGAATCTTTCCAGAAAGTTTACATAACGAGATCCCTCCAGGCGATCCCAAATAGGACACAAGAACTTGACCAGCATTGCATGTTGTGTGTGTTTTTTTTAAGACTTTGTCTTATGGCTGCACAGAAACACCTGCAAAAACTGCAGGCATCCCACAAATTTTAAATAATCAATAGGCAGCTGATGCAACTTTTACAGCATTTAGTGCCAGAAAAAAGAATGGAGAAAAAAAAAGCAAAACGCTGTTCCAAACCAATATCATTTCAGCAAATTGCACCCTGCGCAGAGTTAAAGAAATGATGACAAACATTTTAAAAGCCCATGCAGCCTTTTACTGCTTTCCAAGCAAAAAAGAAAAACTGTTTCACTGTCCTGTTCAGCAGCGTGGAAAGTAAAGTGGGGCTGTGTCCTCTGTGGCGATAGAGGCATCCGACTCAGGGCGCCACGCATCCGGAAACAGCTCTCCTCTGTGCGCTCGGGCAATCATCTGATGGGGTTTGAGCTCACGGGACATAACAGAGATCCAAGCCAGGTGGTCAAATCCAAACAGGACATCCATCTGAGTCAAACGAGTTCCTCTTGAACTTCAATTTCCTTCTCCTGCGGTGTATTAATGCTGCCTGTTCTGTGATAGATCACATCTACATTAATAACTACGTAGCAGCAGGGCAGGTTCGTGTCTCAAATCTAGAGCCGTCCCAAGGTTGTCTGAGGCCCTGAGCAGAATTTCATTTGGAGGCCCACTTCCAGTTAAACCCACCAACCAACTTACCTCCTTTTTTATATACCCTCCATACTTATTTATTTAAAAAAAAAAAAAAAAAATTCTGTATTTGTGTACTCTGCATGCAGCATCTGTTTTACTGCGAACTGGTAAGATAATAAAAAATCCAACTTTTATTAAGTCAGCTTTTTATTATTATTATTTCCATAGTAGTTCTAAAAAGCTTTCCTGATATCAGAGGGGCAGGGAGGGGGGTTACCTTTATTTAACCAGGTAAGTTGGTTGAGAACAAATTGTCATCATCAACAACAACCTGTTCTGGAAACATCAAAACATCTACAGCAGAATATCATAGAGTTAAAAACAGAATAATATCATAAAAAAACTAAAAAGAAAATCCAACCACATTTAACCTGACTAAGCACATTACAAACACATGAAAAAAAATTAGAAAAATGTGAAAACGATTAGACAGTCAAACATCTTGTTCTTTAGATAATAATAATTCTAGAGATATGGAGGTCATGTCTTTTCTTCATTTTGAATCGTTTGTCCTTCCGTACTTAAAGAGAAGTTACTTTACTGTTTCATTATAGTAAGTGTTAAACAGTTAGTTGTGTTTGACAGCTAAATTTTAAATATGTGACATTTAGTTTGAGGTTTGGTCATCCAGCAGCTCTTTTTATTCTTTTTGGGAATCTTGTAATTTTGTAATGAAATAAATACTTAAATTATGTTTTATTGATCAAATTCTTTACTGTCCAGGTTTATATTCAAATGACTGCAGAACTCTTGGCTATAGATGGAGGACATAGGAGATTTAGTTGATACCTGGACTGTAAAAAATATTTTGTGTTCAGGTTGTGAGGATTCTTTGGTGCTTCATTTTTAATTTTTCATTATAACAGTATAGTAAAGTTCATTTAGCTGCAACTTCCAAAGTTTTAGACTAAACATATTGCATTTTCCATTTTTTACATTTGTTTGAAGATCTCAGTACGGTTCACTTCTCTCTCTCTCTCTTTTTTAAAATATGAATCATCCTTAAAATGAAACTGACATATTACAGTTCTGTTTTTGTAGTGTGCATACACATTAAAACACTGGCTATTTTATTTACATTTTTATAAAGAATATGACTTTTGTTAAAGTTTTTCAGTGAAGAATTTCTGTCTATTTTTTTCCCAAGCTTTAATTTGGGTATGTTGAGACCTATTTTAAACTCCCAATGTTCTTATATTATTATCTCACCTGCACATATCATTCATTTTAACATTTTGCTTCATTCTGAAACTAAAAATTTGATTTGTTGTCAGTGAGAGCTTTGATATGGGCAGTTGCCCAGGGCCGCATTTGATTCAGGGGCTACAAGTATGAGATAAAACAACACCTTGTTTTTCTGTCAGATTAACAAGTTTTCTGTTGCTTGTGTTCATATGCAGTCACTGAGGAGTGAGCGCCCCCTGGTGATGAGTAGAGGTTACCTGATTACTTCTGAAATTAGATGAGATTACTTGCTCCGTGAAGGAATGCAGAGCAATTTAGCACTTTTAAATTTCTGCATTTTGACTGTTTTCTAAGAGACACACATGTTGTTGTCAATCAAACTATGCCCAGGTCTTTAGCAAGACAACCTGAACAATATATTTAACTGCGTCCAATGGGGAAAGAGTATAAAAGGTATATGGCTATTCAAGGTAAAATGATATTTATAAAGAATGCGTTGGTTCTGTTTCTATGTGAAACAAAAATGGGAGTCATTGCAGATTTTATGCTGAGGATTGACTTGTCTCAAAACCTTGATGTGTGTGTTGCAATGAAAATTGTTATTTAATATAACAAGTTTTGTTTTGTTATTTAATATTTGTATAATTTATCAGAAAAGTCCTGAGGCTGGATTTGGGTTAGAGTGCAGGAGGAGGGACTGCTGCAAAGTTTGATTTCACCTCAGTCCGGCCCAACCTAAACCAGACAGGATATCTGCTTCCTTCATATTAAACTATGCAATTAATATATATATATTTTTTGGATGCTAAATGGGATAATGCCATATTCCTGACAAGGGGGATGAATCAGTTTTAGGTTACACTATGTACTTGCAGAACATCGTGGTGCCATAACAAATCGAGTGGATTTCTTTTAAAAGAGAAAGTAGATTGAGAAGAAAGAAAACAAAACTCACTCTCTCCTTTTCCTTTGATAACTTCCTTCAGTTTCAAATGATGACCGGGCTGCTCTCTTTCACAATGTCATATCACAACCACAGTGCTATCCCTACCCAGACTGAGAGCTCTCTGTAGCCTGCAGTCCTCACTAAAGTGTTTTATTCCGGGGTGCGTCGTTGTTCTATAGGGCCAAAGCCTGAAATGCTGCAGTGTGCTGCTATAGGTTCTAACTAGTAGGTCAGTGGAATCTACAATCTGGATGCTGACAACTCAAACCTGCAGTAACCTGGCAGCACATATGAACTTACTGCAACGCAATATCGCAAAGACATGTTTATTTTAAAGGAACATTAATCACCAAAAGGGGAAAGTAAACCGCGCCCTGTCAGGCCGAGTCGACAGTGATACAGAAGTGTGATATGTGTTGTTTAAGAGTGGATGAAACAATGCGAATGTCGCGTTTTAACGGGAAGCCTGAATAAAAGGAGAAACAAGGTGCCGCGGTCCCTTCAGAGGACTGCCAAACTATAGACGCACCTTCTACCCCCTCACGCAATACAGTCTCCGGAGAGACTGCAAGCGTAAGGGAGGGTGGCATAAAACTATTACCGATACAAAATAATGTTAGGAAAAACATGCAGGTACAGTTCGGGTGCAAGCGTCGCATTGTTCCTGTAGACAACCGGGCGTCTGTTTTCCACTCAGAGAAGTTTACACTTCCACATCATGTTTCTCATTCTGACACTGAAATGTCATCCCATCCAGCGGCAGGCCAACTCCCCAACATAAAAAAAAAAAAAAAATTAACGAAAGCCTCGCTATGAAACGCGCCGCATCATATCTTCCCGTTTAAAGGAAAAAAAAAAACACACACACACACACACACACACACATTTCCCACTTCTGGCTGAAGCAATCGCATGCACATTTGTTCATGTACTGGCAAGGAGCCTCTTCGCAGCCGCTACAGGGGGAAAGATGCTGAGAGGGACCCGCTCTGCGGCACTGGGATGCAGTCAGTCGACAAAAAGTACGGCTGAGCTCCATCCCGCGGCCAAACATGCCGGACAAAGACGACAACATATTGTTCACTTACTTTTTCTCGCATTAACAGATATCCTGACAGCTGGCACTGAACTGCAGATGTGGAAAAGAGTCGGGAGTAACTGCGGCTGTCGCCATATTGGTGCTGCTATCTTCCTTCCCAGTGCGTGCCGCTGCCCTGCATAATTGATGACTCTCAGCAAATTGTTAGGGAGTGTCGGTAAATGCCTTCACTCCCAATAACGAGCAAGAGACCGCAGCATCGTAAGCACAAAAAGACGTTCATTTAAAACAACACGCACATATATTGCGTTCGGCAACATTATCCGCATCTTTCTTTAATTTTATGCTTTATACTTTCGTGTTTTTATAAAATAAATATTAATTATATTAGTTTTTTTT